TTTAGTTAGTTGCTTTCTGAGTTAGTTCTTTTTCTTCTTTGGTTATATATATACCAGGAAGAATCACATTTACCTGTATCTTTCAATTTTATCTTTCAATCAAAAGTTTCATTCTTGTTACACATTTTGTCCCAACTGCTCGAGTTGTTAATCAGAAATCCAAGGGAGTGAAACATGCCATAAATTTTGACAAAAAATAATTACGAAGCAATTGAACTAAGGAAAAATATTATTATAATAGCTAATTATGCTGACAATTAATTATATTCAATGCAAAATATAAACATACTAGCTAATCATGCTGACAACTAATTTTATTCCTATAATTACGTATACATTAAATGCAAAATATTTTTAAAACATTATTTGTTCCTCTAATACTCTCCCTCAATTTGGAATATATAAATTCGAAATGCTCAACTTGGATAACACACTATATGGGTACTCATCTTAAATAACAACTATTAAGATTAAAATTTTGTTGGCAAAATTAATTAAACAAATTTACAAAAAAATATGAAAGTGTCCCTTTGTAACACCCTGTGTATACCCGGTTTGTTATCATGTCAGCGTATTAAGCCAGGCTTAATTAAAAATACGGAATATCTTTTTCTTTTCAACTATGACGTCATTATCAATTACCAAGTTGATTACTTAATCACTTTCAAAACATTGCATGTATGTAATTGCAAATAAACAGCTATCTACACTGAATAACCTCAATATATAAATAAAGGTGAGTATCTAAGTCACAGATCTACAACACGTAGTCCGGACATAATCCTGTTACATTAAAACAACTCGAATCTAAATAAGACATAGTCAATCAATGTGACATGGACAACCCCCATGCTCACCAAATAAGGCAACAAGCCCAACAGAGTCTCAACAATAGCAACATAATCCTAAAGATAGCAGAAAACATGCCAGCATCCAATCATAACAATAAAAGCAGCAATGTCTAACTCAGCTCCGGCCTCCTGTTGCCCGAGGTCTCAACTTCTGAGTTACCTGAACCTGAAATATGTGCCCCAAACGTGGGGTAAGATCTCTAAACAGAAATCTCAGTAAGGCAAGAGGTCCTCAATGATTTCTTCATCCTAAGCTCACTTACATGTGCAATATAAGTTCAAAAGTAGTAATATCATATAAGTTCCAATATCAGTGCAATGCAACAGATAATCATGTCATGTGTGTTAACTATTCTACTGATCAGAGGAAGTGTAGGATGTACGTACGTCTACAACCCACAATAGTACACGCCAATGTCGTACCTGCCCACAGGAACTTAATCCTGTCTAGGCGAACATCACATACATATCATAGGGCATTTGCACTTAACAGCTCAACAACATTTCAATAAATCAATACATGAAAACACATCATGCATATGAGCCATTCCCCCATGGGGTATGGTGGAATCAACAATGGCTAAACCGAGGACACAAAAGCTTACCTCGCAAGCTAACTATCCCAACAAGATTCCAACCAAGCTCAAAGTCCACAAACAGCAGAATCACAATCTGTTTGGACCAATAATCATATCAATAATCATACTCTACAAGCATATGACATAAAGACAACGTCTTTCCTTTAGGTTTCATGTATTTAGGCTTCTCACAAAGCCACAAGCCCTTAATCCCTTAGATTCTGACTTAGATTAATTATTACAGAAGTCCACATTGACCAAACATGGGTCCACTAACCCAAAATGTCATTCTGTATGAACAGTACAACTACTGTCCTCGAAAACCCAGAATATCCGGATATATGTCGGGATCCGGATATCCATATCCGGATATCTACAGACCCCATATCCGGATATTTCGCGACAGAATGCAGTTTCAGCACTTCGCGAGATATCACTCCCAAGGTAGCATTTTTAACCCATTAGGACGTCCAAGCATCATTTTTATTCACTTCAAGGTTAATGTTCAGGTTGGTTACTTATTTAACCCATTAACATGCCAAGACTCAACCTTTAACAACGAAAACTCATGATCAAGGTTCAAGAACTTACCCCAAGCACCAAAACAGAGGTGGATGATGCTCTTGGAGCTCTCACTACAGCTCCAAAGTTCAGCACACACAAGGACACGAAAATGGCACACAAGCAAGGTCCTTTCTTTGCAAAGGTGGCTTCTTGAAGCCACACAAGCAAGGAACAATGGCTTCTTCCCCACAAACAGTTAAATCAACCTTTCACAACTCAAGACAGAACCTCCAACTTAGAAAATGGCTAACCTTTCAACCCCACAAGGCTAAAACACACTCACCAAGGAATCTTTGAAAAGAAAGCAAGAGAAAATGTGCTCCCAAGAAGCTCCAATGAAGGGAAAAAAGATGGAGGAAGGTGGTTGATCACAATACTCAGAAAAACCCACGTAGAATAGAGAGAGGCTGACCTAGGATCATGTGCCAAGGCCTTATATAGGCTACTTAAGTCTTAATCGCATCGTATTAGCGCTAATAGCTACGCTTATCTTTTTAATCCCAAACTCAGGACTCTGAACCTACTCATTTTTCTAAGATTTGTCATATATTTTTTTTCGCAGCACCTATCCGGCATGCGCTTTTACATAGCCAGTATCAATTCTGGCACAAGTTCTCATTATTTCGACTGGAAACTTGTTTTACTAGTTCTACATATTATTCTAGGAATATTCCCACACTTATTATAATTTTCCGAGATACTTCATCGGTACGCCTTTATACCGTGGAACAGAACCGGTATCTGCACTTTTCGTCAGATAAGCGACTTTCAGCATTCTTTATCACTTACTATAATTATTTAAGCCTTCTCATAATTATTAGGGTTACTTATGGAATTATTTCCTAATTTTTATATTTCTTTAATTAATTTTCTAAATTAACAGTGCGAGTTTTTACCCCTTTCGTTTTCAAACGTAAACTAATCGGGCTCAATTGTGGAATAGCTACTGCCCTTATATAATGGAAGAGGAAGAAAAATAAATTTATATTTGATGATATCTTATATCGCCAACACGTCTCGTGCGAAGGAGAGAATTTATTGTTGTCCGGGACCACCATTTTTTAGGTGGTCCTTTAGTGTAAATAGAAGGGCAAAATTGGAAAAGAAGAAAATAACAAGGATAAAAAGGAAAAGAAAAAATTAGTGTTGTGAGAGGAGCTCCAAATTCTTGGATGGTCATGGAGCATATTAAATATTTCTGGTTCGAAGGCGCCTGTTAAAATGTTAGCAAGACTAACTGACATCACATGCTCACGAGACACCATATTTTTAATAATAAAAACAATAGCGGAAACAAAAAAAGAGAGGAGTAAATACCTTTTTGGTCCTCAGCAAATTTTATGACGCCTGTTTTAGTCCATAGCAAATAAAAAGGCCCACCGTGGTCCCTAAGAAATTCAAAATGGACCAATTTAGTTGAAATTTTAGTCCCTCACAAATTCAAAAAAGACCCATATTAGTCCCTAAAAGGACTAAAATGGGTCCATTTTGAAATTTTAGTCCCTCACAAATTTAAAAAAGACCCATATTAATCCCTAAAAAGGGTATTTACTAAAAAAAAAAAAAAAAGTGTTCCATTACAATCATTACTTAATCACAAAGGAAGTGGGCAATTAAAAGCAGGAAAAGCATCTTAAGGAGAGTTGCCATCGTCCAACCTGTCATGGAATCCAAAGGTTTTTCTTTTTCTTTTTCTGATAGAATCCAAAGTATTACGACGTACTAGAATTCATCGTGGAGGGAAAGTTTTACCTCCACGATGAACCATCAAATTTTTCATCGAGTTCGCAGTTTTAAACAATGTTATAAAAATTGAACCGATCCGGTCGACCTGAAAATCGGTGAATCGGTAAAAAAAAAACTAATTTATTTTTATAGATTAATGTCTTTTTTTTTTACTCTAAATACAAATAGTTTGTTTTCTTTTAAAATATTTGAGTGATTTGTAACTTATTAACTTATTTAGATTATGTACCCATAACATTAATATTATCTTGATTATGCAATATGCTAACAATTTTGATTTGATTTATAATTAGAAATGTCGTTTACTGAACCTGAAACACTAATATCACAAATATTATATATTCAATTGATCTTTTGTTGGACAATAATGTGTAATTTATTATTTTCATATTAAAATATTTGAAATTGATATTTTTTTTTACAAGTATTTAAGTATATTTATAGTTTTTTAATATAAATTGTAGATTTACATATACCTACCGGGTCATGCGGTTGAAACAGTGACCCACTAGTTGAACCGGTGACCCAGTAGCTCGACCGGGTCAATAACCGGGCTGAGTTTGGTTTTAAATGATACAATCTTATGTTATTTTAAATGATACAATCTTATGTTATTTTTAATTTTTTCTCTTTCATAAAAGGGTTCATTTTTTCTGCAATTACTGCAGATAAGTTATCTGCAGTAAGCCCAATACGACGTCGTTTTGGGACGGAAATCATGATATTTTTGTAATTTTAATTTATTTCAAGATTATAATAGTCTTTATATTTATAATTTTTTAAGATTTCAATACCAAAACGACGTCGTTTTGGGAATAAATGCAGATAATTTATCTGCATTAACTGCAGAAACATTTTTCCCTTCATAAAATTAGGAAAAGTGAAAAAATGAAAGAGATAAAATATAAAAAATCACCAATATATGTCAAAATAATATTATTTTATTTAAAATGACATAAAATTATATCCTTTAAAATGACAAATATTTATCCCATTTTTTGTTAATAGAAATTAATCATTGAATGAATACTTAAATATTTAAATTTGATCAAATAAATTTTCTTCAATTAATTACATTTTCTATATTTTTAATTTAGAAACTAGTACTTCAATAAGTTTATAATTGCAAGTTAAACCTCTTCAATAACTTTTTTTCATTTGCTTAATCCTTGATTATTTTGTTTTAAGTATTTAGTATAAAAAATGTACTTAATGCATCAACTCAGCAAATTGATTTTCTCAGATGTAATCAAAACCGTTCATTTCTTGTTTATCATCCTGTGTGTGGAAAACTGGAAATGTTAAGGTCACATATCTTAGGTATCAATGCAATATTGGTCGTGGTATTATAGATTCAACCATTCTTCTTCTTCTTTCATGGCATTTTGGAGCATGCAGTTGTTAAGTAAAGGGGCACTGAGGCCTTGATATATTCAAAGATTACTATGCAAAGATTGTAAATGAGACATAACTTCCTTTCCAACTTGGTCTCTTCTTATTTTTCCTGTGGTAGTGAGTGGAAAAGGCTTCTTCCATACAATAAATATTTTCGGTATCTTAAACCTGAAAGGAGAATCAAAAGCAATCATTATTAAAAAGAACCAATTAAATCCAAAAGCTTAAGCTTGGGCGAGCCTTTTTAAGGCTTTATATTATTCTCTAACATCCCCTCACACGAGAGTCTGCTGATTTTAAAGGATAAATAATACATAGGCCCACTAGGTACCTGTGCTAACAAACTCCATAATAATTAAATGAAGGTGGTGAGAATCGAACCCATAACAATCAGATTCTCATACTATGTAAAAAATCAATTCAATCCAAAACTTTAAACTGTTGTATGAGGGCCTTTTTAATGGTTTATACTATTCTCTAACAATCATTGAATTAGTCTCTTACAAATTTAACCAACATAGATTTTGGAGACACACCTGCTTAAATTATTTTCCATGCAATATTGCTGGAGATTCTTTCTAGATAGGTGAAACTCTTCATTTGAAGCTGATTGCTCTGACCATTGCCAATTTTCTCCTAGTTGGATACATGCTGCCACCATCTCTGTCAGGTAAGCATCTGGGATTCCCACAACAACAACACTAGCAATCCCTGGATGTTCTCGTAGAATTGCCTCAACCTACTTCAAACAAATAGTATAAATATCATAAACCAAGTAAAGACAAGCACTTAACGTAATTATTTGTTTTTACACAAATTATGTGTCCCTTTTGCAGGATAAAACTTTGTAACAAAGTATCATATTCTTTTGGTTTAAATTTCTTCTTTATGATAAGGCAAACAGGTTTAGTGACACTTGCACTACCTCTTCAGGGTAAATATTCTCCCCACCACTCTTGATACGACCATTTGTTCGTCCAAGGAGCCACAAATTGCCATAACAGTCAATAGATCCAATGTCACCTGTGTCAAACCATACTTCATTCCTCTGATTTAATGGGTTTGTGAGGATTTGATCCCAATACCTGAGCATTGTATGTGGTCCTCTAGTTAAAATTCTCCCAATGTGACCAGAGGCATCTGCACATATCTTCAGTTCTACATGGGGTGCAGCCTTGCCAACACAAACACCTTGTGGCTGGTGAATTATATTGGATCCTGCCACACCAAATATTTGAAGGGGATGGCTTGTGGTTTCATGCATTGGATCATAGAGTGTTAGGAATGTCAATGAAGAGCATGTCTCTGTCATCCCTTTGATAAATGAAACAGATTACACACAATAACATCAAACCAGTGGATTTCCATCTATTATACAAAAGGTACAAGAGGACCTAGAGAAATTTAATAAGGTCAAATTTCAGTGGCCTTCATACATCATAAGTTCTTGTCATTTGGTATATCGTGTAAAGTAAACATATAAAATAAAAGACTGTTGGATAAACTCGATATATTGTGTTTCTGTCATCAGCTTCCAATATGATTGTTGGACAAACTCTAAGTTCTTATCTTTCTTTTTCTCTCGTCTACTCCTTTCCCCTATAATTCCATATCAGCTCTCTTTTTCTACTGTTTTCTTATTTACTTTTCTTCTGCAAGTTGCACAGGTTTTCTTATTCATATTTTCTAGACTAAAATATCTGTGAACCTAGGTGATCCATTTACCTTAAAGCGCTTACTACTTGTAAAAATATGCTAATGTATATGTACTTTTTGTTAAAGAAGTATAAAATCATTAATATAGCCTTACTCAACAGCTTAAGCTTTTGGGTTGAATTGATTCTTTACATAGTATTAGAGCCTCAATGTCACGGGTTCGATCTTCACCGCTCCCCATTTAATTGATAAATAATTAAGTCTTGCAGAGTCTTAGCACAGATAGGTGAACCTGTGTATTATCTACCCTTCAAGACCAGTGAGCTTTCGTGTGAGGAGGCATGTTAGAGAAGTATAAAACCATTAATATGTAGCCTCACTTAACAGCTTAAGCTTTTGAGTTGAATTGGTTATATACACCTTTATATGTTAAGTTTTGGCAATTTAAAATTAATCAATAAATTTTCTTTAGCCAACATTAAGATAAGAGAGACCCACCATAAGCTGAAATAAGCTTGGCTTTATGGAAGAATATGCTAGTGTCCTTGATGAGCTCAAGTGAGAGGCTTCCACCCCCATTAAGTATTTTCTTGACAGTTTCTCCGCCTTTCCAGGTCTGTTTGTGCCTACGAATATTAAAACATCAAATTAAGACCGAGATTAGTTGTAAAACAATATATTCAAAAACTCTGGTTTTTGGTCTTTACCTAAGGTGAGAAGATACCAAAACATTTAAGCAGATGAACTGTTTGCAACATGCAATTGCTTATATTGTTTAGAAGTAAATGTACAAATTAGACATGAAAAAGATTAAACAGATTTTGCTCTACAAATCCTGACAGCTTTAGGACATTGTTTAGTATAAACCAGGAAACTGTGATGAAAGTGGTGAATTGTGAGATACTATTTTGTTTTACTTTAGGTTGAAAAATTGCAATGCTAATTTAGCAATAATTTCTTTTATAAATTTTGTTTCTAGATGAAGTATCATATGACAATTTCTGTTACAAAAAAGGACAAAGTTTTATTCTTATTTGACACTGGAATATACCTAATTACAGAAATCAGACTGGCCATTATTGCAGGAACTGTTATAAAAGATGTCACGGAAAATTGCTGTATGGCACCAACAGCTGAGTTTGCATCAAACTTTGGCAACAAGACATGGCAACCACCAACCATAAGCATGGCCATGGCTGATGACAAGCCACCAATATGGCATAATGGAGCAGTATGCAGATAGACCTGTTACAGAACACATGAAAAAACATGGAGAAGTTAATCATGCTCTAGCTGTTTCAGCTTGATTTATCAGTAACTAGCAAGTATGTAAAATCTTAGTAGTTAATATTGACAGCCTTGTGGTCTAATATAATGGTAAAGCTTTCATAACCAAAATCAATGACAAAAACTGCATGTAAGAGGGAATGGCATACATCATCCTCACTGTACCCAACTACGGCAATCTTGGCTAGGGATTGTGTGATCAAAGCTCCATGGCTTAGGGTGACTCCCTTAGGCTTTCCCGTAGTTCCTAGAGTCAAGAACACAATAATTTCAGGAAATAAAAGAGGATATATTTTATCAGAAAGTAAATCCCCAGTAGAATAAAAGATCTAAACCCTAATTACTTGCTTGTAAACAGCTATTTTGGAACTCTTGATTGAATATTTCTTTTCCTAGAAGTAAAATCAAATTGGCCATAATTTTTAAGATCATTTAACAAACTTTAACTTCCAATCTTACTTTTTTTTTTTATTTCAATCACTGCCTGAAAAAATTAATAAGCTCCAATTCACACATAAATGAAGCTTAAAAAGTAAATTCCACTTAGTTAAAGAAGTTTACATTTCTTAGATGAATTAAGTATTGCATGTGTTTGTTACTTTCATCAATAATCTGAATTCCATTATAATAGATCATTTGACACACTAAGTTTTCAATCTAGCAAGCAGATTGTTATTGAATTAATTCATTAGACATGCATATGTTGAGATAGAATAGAAATGATTGCTTTCTACATAAGGTCTCTTTTTGTTGAGATATATAGTCCCACATTGGTTGTATGAGCAACTAATGTGGAGTTTATAAGGCCTTGGGCACTCCCACCCTTTGAACTAGCTTTTGGGGTGGTGTATCCCAAGGTTCTTTACATGGTATCAGAGTTTGAGTGACTACAAGGTCACAAGTTCGATCCTCTCTGCCCCCCACTTTAAAGTGGAATTAAAATAAAAAACACAAAAAAAGGTAAACCAAAAATTGGGCCTGCGCAATATCCACACTTCAAGTCCAAAGGGCTCCCGTGTGAGGGGGCGTGTTGAGATATATAGTCCCACATTGGTTGTATGAGCAACTAATGTGAAGTTTATAAGGCCTTGGGCACTCCCATCCTTTAAGCTAGTTTTTGGGGTGGTGCACAAAAGGTAAACCTAAAATTGGGCCTGTGCTTCAAGCCCAAAGGGCTCTTGCGTGAGGGGTGTGTGTTAGAGAATATAATATAAAACCATTAAAAAGCCCTCACCCACCAACTTAAGCTTTTGGGTTGAATTAGTTCTTTACATGGTATCAGAGCCTCGTGTCCCGGGTTCAATCTTCGCTGCCCCTCATTTTTTTTTCAAGTGAAATTTCTTTATTCGCACAGGTAGGTGGGCCAGTGCATTGTCCACTCTTCAAGCCCAGTGGACTCTCGTGTGAGGCGGCGTGTTGAGATATATAGTCCCACATTGGTTGTATGTGCAACTAATGTGGAGTTTATAAGGCCTTGGGCACTCCCACCCTTTGAGCTAGCTTTTGGGGTGGTGTATCCCAAGGTTCTTTACACTTTTCTTATATAGCTCAATACCTACATAATTTACTACCCCAACATCAGGATTTCATTTGCAATTGCCATCTAGAACTACAAATCTTCCAATCCATGTAGAAATTCCATCCTTAATTTCTTATAAATGGTCTTAGTATTCCATTTCAGTCATCATTAAATTCCATGCCTTGCTTCTCTACAAACCACAAGCATTGGTGTTCTCAAAAGTAACTGACTGAGAATCTTGAACCTGATGTAAAGCATATTATGACAGCTCCTTCAGATGCCCAGGAGTAATTAAATGATAGAGGCTTTACAGGATGCCTCTTAATCATTTCCGGGGTTAACACTGCAAAGTAGTACGAGCAACAAGTTATGAAGATTACTCAAGCCAAAAAAAGGTTTTCACTGGTATCTACCCTGCAAAGTTCCTACCATTCCACTTCTTTGTAAAATTTAAGGAAGGGGAATCCAACAAAATAAGCCACCTCAGAGATGGAATATCATTTTTCTGGAGTTTTAAGCACCACGTATAGCAGCTCTCATCAGTCACTAACATCACTGGCCTCACTGCAGTCATTGCTAATCTTGCCTCTTCAAAACTCTGCAGGAGAAGAAAACTGTCTTAAAGCATAACATTGTGATTAGTATATGAAATATATGGTGAAAAATGACAAAGTCCAGATGAAATAACAAGAAGAAGGCTGAAAACATATTAACTTTTTGAGGTAAATACGAAGTAATGTTACTGTGTAGTCAGCTTGAGTATGCATGTACATTGTGAAATGCCATGTTAGCATGAAAATGGCCTCTTGAGAGAGATTAACAAAAATACCAAGTCAAAAATAATAGAAAGCTAAGCAATCAAGTCCACAGAAAATTTACTCACCCAGCGATAGTTCAGAGGAGCAGCTATCCCTCCAACATATGCAATGGCTAATAACCACTCCAGATACCAATCACTGTAAAAAAAGAAAATCTATCTATCGTTCATAAAATCATAGATGAACTATCAATAACTAGACATTCACTAGGAAGTGTTTATAAATTATACAGCAACTACGACCAATTACTAAAAATGGTGGGAATAAGATGTGTCTGTTAGGCCAATTACTAAAAAAGGACATAGCTACAGAAGACCTCAACCCAGAAGGATTAAAAAACCTTCCTTTTATTTTCAGCTTCAGCCAAATTTGTCAACAATGACATATGCAAAGATAATAGCTCTTTAGTATTTTCTCTGCAATCTATCATTGTCTCCAAGTGAAGCATTGTAACCTACATTTTCAAGGACCTCAATCTTCTAACTTTTAAATGCCCACTTTTTTTTTCCCATGGTGCCCCCACCTATTTGTATGAGACTAATCCCCTTCATGAGATAAAGTGTAAAGGTTTTTGTCATTGGCCAAATTGCTTTGGCTAGGAATTGAATAAAAAATCTCATCAGTTCGATCATTGGGCATAACCCACTTACCAGTTGTGTCACCTCTCAGGAGGTTTAAATGCCCACATTTTACTTCACAATTTAACACACTTCTCACTCTCTTATGTTAGTAGTAGATTTTGATCGTCATTGTTGCAGGAGAGTTATTGCCCCCTTGATCTTGTACTTGGGTAGCCCATAAGAAATACAAAGAAACAACGAGTACACAAATAAATATTTTAATATTTTCTACATAACATAGTGAAAAGCTGCAGTTCAAAAAGCTCAGAATAAGAAAAGTGCATAGAGTGTCTCAACATGAATTCTCCTCCTCAAGGCCTTCAAATATTTGTAGTGGATGGTGCATGCAAAAGGGTACGTATTATTATTGTCTATAAAAATCATTAGTTCTAGTCTTTTGATTTGAATTGATTCTTTAAATGATATCAGATATCACGTGTTCCACCGTCACCGTTCCCGTTTAGTTAATAACTAATTAAGTTTTTTATCACAAGTAAGTGAATTTGTGCATTATCCACTCTAACGGGCTATGGTATAATAAGATGTGTTAGAAAATTATTAAAACCATTAATATAAGCTAACACGATATTTAACCTTTATTATTATTACATATACCTATTGTAAGCAGAGATGGCGACCACGTCACCTGGTGTGACTCCTAGCTGGATTAGGCCTTGTGCTAGGGACAACACTTCCTCCACCAACTGTTGGCCGGTCCTGCGGCGGTGGCCGGAGATAGTGACCGGAAAGTGTCGCCGGAAGGTTAGCAAGCGACTCAAACATTGGCAGATATGAGGGTTGGAGTAGTTAGCCATGGAAGTTGTGGTTTGATTTGAATGTCTTGAAACCGCGGTTTCTGCTTTCTTATCTTATCTGCTCGGACACAAAGCAAACACCATTTTTCATATGCTTATGATTAATCTCTCACTATGTGTCACTTTTCTATTGGTATCACGGATATTTTCTCTATCTTCTTCTTTTAACACAGTCTTTCTAAACATATGCTGCCATGAGTCTGACATTTTTATTTCTGTCACCATTATTTTTTATGAATAATATATGAACACTTCTTTATCTTATATTGAAATTTTACTTTTTTTATATACAAGAATAAATTTGATAATAATCAAATTTATAATGTTATAACAATTTAAACATTATATTTTTAGACGAGACAATCATTTTTAATTTAAACATTTTACTCTTCAATAATTTTGAAAAGATTATATTTACAATTTTTTTTTACAAACTACACTATGTCTTATCGATAATATATTCTTAAGTGAAGTCTTAAGTGTAGTTTGTAAAAAAAAATTGTCAGTATAATCATTTTATATATATAGGTAAAATTATTTATCTGGCCATTAGATGTCCAGCAATAAATCTTACATCGTTGATTGATTATGATTATCTGCAATGCTTTCACCTACTTTACTTTTGTATAGCTATAATTCTCCGAATTTATTTGTTATACCTCAAGTGGTCGGAGAAAAGCAAAATCCGTATATATACTACTGTTATAAATTGATATAAAATTATTGGGATAGATTATATTTATAGATATTTTATTTATAAATTCTTATAAATTATATTATATACTATAGATTATATTTATAAATTTTTATTTATAAACTCTTATAAATTATATTATATATTATTCACAGTAGGTAATATAATTTAGGGGAATGTTACTCTCATTTTACATGAGAGTAGCTCTCTCATGTTACAGAGAAAAATCATGTGGGACCCATCATTAAAAGATAAAAAAAAAAAAAAAAATGGGTGAAATATTCGATGTGAGACAACATGAGATAACTACCTCATGTAAAATGAGAGTAGTATTTCCCTATAATTTATAAGATTTTGTAATTTTTTTTTTTTAAATATATATATATATATATATATATATATATATATATATATAAAATTTCTTAATCTTAATAAGTCGAAGTTGGCGTGGATCAATGAAATTGGGACATCGAAAACATCACCACTCTCCTCGCATCTCTCGTCTTCTCTATCTGTGTGTGTGGATTTCAAGCTAAGCCATTTCGATTATTTAGATTCACTGGTAGTAACTACTAATCTCATTCTTTTTCCTTATCTCAATTCCACACTCGCACATTTGCATCCTCTTTTCTCTCTTCTTTCAATGTCGTTCGTTGATTTCCTAATGATAAGATTCATTTCATGCAAATGTAACACCACCTTTCAATATTATTTTCCTTGACGGAAATTTTGTTATTATCCTTGACAGTTTGACCAAACACGTAGGCTTTTATATATATGCACTGATCGCATCATTATACAATTCGTTGTTAGTAAAGAAATCTGAAATTTGATGTTTGGTTGCTGAGAAAAAAAAAAAATTTGTGCTAGTTGGGATTCAATATTCATGAGTTTGTTTATTTATTTATTTTGGAGTACTTTGGGATATGTAACACTTGTAAAATGAAAATGGAGGATACTCCAAATCCTAGTTTAATTTTTTTTTTTCCATGCCTGTTTTGTGAGGATGAGTAATTCTAGAAGTTGGTGTTTTCAGTATTATAGTTTATACATACACATATGTGTATGTGGGCACCTATGAATGTATTTTATCATCTTATCTTTTTGAAGAATAATAATTTTTTATATATTTATGGAGTTGCCAACTACCCAAGAGGACCAATATGTAGTATGTAACCAGTAAGAAAAATAAATTTGGATTTCTGCAAATGACTTCAAAAACTGATTTTTGATTATGTAATTGTCTTTCTCTTGTTCTGTATGTATATATATTTTTTTTCTTTTCTTAAAATTAAACTATTCTGCACTAGATTTATTCTATTGATTGTATAATTACCTATATCTTCTTTTGTTCTTTCCGTGTAAGAATTAATGTTGTGGAGCAGTTTTACTTTTACCCTTAGAGGATTTCGTGGACGGTTGGCACAACTTGGCTGTCAATAACTTTCTTAAACAGATATTTATTTCTTCCTTTACAGGTTTTTTATTTGACTATTATAGAGGTTGAAGCCTGGATGATTGTGGGCTATAAGCATGTCAACGAATAATTACCGATTGGAACTTGGGAGGCCTGCCTCAGGTAATCTTATGACACTTAATGTGATAATATATAAAGAGGTGTTTGCACCTGAGAATATTATAGTTGCCTCTGAACATGTTGTGGCATTCTATTGAACTATTATAATAAGTGGGACTTGCCGGTCCTAATACATTATAAAAATGATCATTAGTTCCTGTAATGGCTTATGCATTTGTAGAGTTTTTACCTGATCTATTTACAACTTATTGCTGAACTCCATACTCCCTGATGAGTTTTTGTTTTAAGTAATGCTACACAGCCAAAAAAAAATGAGCAATAATTTTGAAGAATTCAGCTAGATTCAAGGGCTATTGTTAGATTAGATAAAGAGGTAGGGACCACTCAACTATCCAAGAGGTCAATAAGCATGCCAACTCATTTTTGTCTAAAAAATTTGGCAGAAAAATTCTGGTTATCTAGCATTTCCTCTTTTTTCTTTTTGTCCCCATCCTTGATGAGGAAGGCTTGAGGCAAGAAGATTTTACTAACTCTCTTCTATGAGGTTACCTTTTCCAGTAGCATTCTGATATTATTTTATGTTTTAGGCGCATGTAAGTTCCTAAGGGGTTTCAGCAAATGACTAGATGGTTATGAGTGGCAACTGTATCTGGTTAAGAATTGCATGCTTTATTAGGGAATATTCTGTCTGGTTTCTATTGGTTGGGCTCTTAAGGCTATATTTGGATGGAGGGGTTTGCAGGGAAAGGGAAGGGAGGGTTAATTTTTCCTTTTTTGAATTGGGAAAGTTATATAATTTTTATAAAAAAAATGAATAAGGGATGATTGGAAGGTAACATATAATATCTCATTTTCCTTTTATTTAAAAAGAAATAAAAAATTAAAATAGGAGAGTATTTACTCAAAATAGAAATTTTACCCTCCCTTCCCTTTACCCCCAAACTCATTCATCCTAACATGCCCTAAAGAGTTTGAACTTAACCATAGAAGCCTTAAGATTCTTTAGTATGCCTTTGAAATAGAAATAGGGAGAAGCACTATTGCAGAGCTATTTTCATTTGTTTTTCTTTAAAAGTTAAATGATTGGCAGGTCTTTTACAGGTAGAAGAAGATTGAAAGATTTATTGCTTCAGAACGATAATCGTTTTTGTGCTGATTGTAAAGCTCCAGATCCTAAATGGGCGTAAGTGTTTCACCTTTTCATTCTTGACGAGGAAGCTAGCTACATTTTAAATTTAACCAAGGCTGTGGCATGAATATTATTTTTTTAGGCATTATGAATTCATTTTTGCTAACTGCGTTTCAGATCTGCCAACATTGGAGTTTTTATATGCTTAAAATGTTGTGGTGTGCACAGAAGCCTTGGTACTCATATATCAAAGGTAAACCATTCACGTGTACCAAAATAAAAAGGGTAAACCGTTCACAGGTTGTCTCATTGTCATGGAAGGCATTGCTGGATGCCAGGGTCCACTTTACTCAAGGAGTTTTTTTTTTTTTTTTTTTTTTTTCTAATGTGGAATAATAGAAGTTTGAAATGAGTATCTTGTCCATTTTTGTCTTCAACAAATTGAAAGACTGATAATTCGTATGTTTGGGTTCATTTTCCTGAACTTGTCTAAGAAATGAGTTGACGTGATATGGAGGAAAAGAAAAAGAACCAATCACTTTCATTTGGTTGTTGTCAAGAAATAAGTCTAGTGAACTTTATTTTAATACATTAAGCTGTGCATACGAGGCATCCTTATTCTTTGATACCAAATTGGCTTCTTTTGATTCTTCTGAAAATCAGATTTTGCCTCAACTAAAAGAGAAAAAAGAAAAAACTAGAGTTGATTTCTGTGATTAAAAGTGCAAAATTTGCAAATAAGGTATTATATTATCCTCCGATATATTTGTAATCACACATCATTCTCCTGTAATTTTCATAGTTTGCAAAGCATGTAGTATTTCAATTTGAGATTCACAAGACATGTTTATGTGCAAAGAATGACAGTTACGTGTGTTAGATGCCTAACACAGTTAGGCGTTAGCAATGAAAAACAATCTCTAACTTAAATTATCACAAGGCATCTTTCCCACTTAAATTATCACAAGGCATCTCTCCTCATGTCAATTCTATTTGTTATTTTAAACGTATTCATGGAAGTTTTAACTCACCATGTCTAACTTTTGAAGGTGTTTATATCTGTTATATGGTTCTTTATTGTTCTAAACATTAAAGGTAAAAAATATGCATTTTTAATGTTAGCAAAATGACCGGTGATTATGATTGCTGAACCTGTTCCATTCTCACCATGTTCCAATCTCTTTCTAGGGTCTATTAGGTGTGTACGTTAAATATGATCTTATGCTATAGCCTTTACTTTTTCTTCTATGCTAGCATGATATTGAATTATGTGTGTGACCTTGTTTGTTTTCAGTGGGCTATGTCTATCAAGTTAAGAGTGGCATAAATGCTGAACTTAATTTACTTGTTTGATGGCATTAATTTTCCCTTTCAGGTTTTGTCTGTGACATTGGATGAATGGTCAGATGATGAAGTAGATGCAATGATTGAAGTTGGGGGAAATTCTTCGGCTAATTCAATTTATGAGGCTTATATTCCTGAAGGATATACAAAACCTGGGCCAGATGCTGGTCATGAGCAGCGTTCCAAGTTTATACGGTTAGACATGTTATCATATACGCCATGCGCTGTAACTGTATATCTGTTGTTCTTAGCTTCATTTGGTTCATGTTGAAAATCTTATATCTCTGATCATCATGACTTTGTAATGCTGAAGGTTATTGATTCTGTGTGTGTGTGTGTGTGTGTGTTCATCATGACTTTGTAATGCTGAAGGTTATTGACTCTCTCTCTCTCTCTCTCTCTCTCTCTCTCTCTCTCCCATTTTCCGAGTCATTTATTTTCTTAACTTTCTGCTGCCATTTTCAGCCAGTCAGGCAAATGCTAATTAATTGACTTCCGTTTTAATTGTGACTATTCTGACTGCAGGTCAAAGTATGAGTTACAAGAATTTTTGAAACCTAGTTTGCGCATTGTATCTGGAAAAAGCAGTATAGAATCAAGTTCTTCCAAAAGTTTTATGGATAGTTTTAAAAGTACTAGTTCACAGAGAATGGTAACTTTATGTTATATGTTAGTTCCTTTGATATCTGACTACTTTTATGAGTGGGGGAGAAATATTGGGTTTTGACCAAATTTTGAGTAAGCATCTTTTTGTGAACTAGATTTTCACTGAGTTGTTTTAGACTTTTACCCAGATGAAATCCTTCTAATCAAAGATAATTTAATATAGATGAGTTGAGGCATGTTGCATTATCTAACTTTACTAATTTGGCAGCAAGGAAATGGAGTTATTCTCATGAGTGATTTCCTTGCAATGTGACTGATATTGGTGGTAACAACAGGAAGGTATGGTAGAATTTATTGGAATGTTGAAGGTGAAAGTGATTAAAGGCACAAATTTAGCTATCAGAGATATAAAGTCAAGTGATCCGTATGTTGTTTTGAACCTTGGCCATCAGGTTGGTTGTTCTTCTTGTCAGCATATGTTCTTTGGAAACTGTTGCTCTTCATCTTTTATTTGTAGTTGAAGAATCGAAAATTATGATAATATTCTTTCTGAAATCGAGTTGGTGCTATTGCATACAGACTGTCCAGACAACCATAATAAAGAGTAACTTGAATCCAGTCTGGAATGAGGAGCATATGCTGTCTGTTCCAGAGCAATATGGACCGCTGAAAGTGGTATGATTGAATTTGATGTTGTGAATAAAAGACACTAATTTCTGTGTGTATCCTAGTATACAGAACCACATTATTAAAGAAAAACGGGTTCCTGTTCGAAATTCCTAAATATCAACAGTTAGTTACTGTAGAGTATCAATTGTCTGTTAGAATAATTAATTAGTTAGTTAGAGGATGGAAGGACAGGGATTTAGCTTAAATTGGAGGAAGGGTAGATGGGAGTAAGTTGTTAGCATTGAGAAAACAAAGCAGTGCCTCAATTGTAAGGGAAAATCCTTGGAGGAGGAGACATCTTCTATTTTCTAATTGATATTCAATCATCAATAAAGATTCGATCTTTTTCTTTTTATCTTTTGTACAATTTCTTTATTCATGTTTGTGGGTTTGTTACTGTTCCTTCATCCTCATTCCTCAACATCCGAGACCTTTTACCTTCTCTCTTACATCCTTTGTCACCTTTGGAAATTAAATACAGTTCTCTTCCAACTACAGTTTGTACTTGGTTTTAACTTACAATTGCTTCCTCAACATCCGAGACCTTTTACCTTCTCTCTTACATCCTTTCTCGCCATTGGAAATTAAATACAGTTCTCTTCCAACTACAGTTTGTAATTGGTTATAACTTACAATTGCTTTGCAGAAAGCAAAAGTATGTATTTGTGGTAAGAATGAAATAATAAGTTACATAAACAGTATCTATGTCTAGGCATTCCTCATTTACCTTCTTTGTTATTTTGTTATGATAAGTAATTGGGTTATTTCCTTCTATAAGGGATAGAAGTAGAGAGTTTCCTCACCATTGATTATACAGCCTTTTGTTATTCCTTTGTTCCATTGCCAACTCTATCAACTGTCAGTCACTCATAGAATTCAATGTCTTGCACTGTTCAGCATGATGCAAGGGTGAAAGGAAAATTGGTTGTATGCTGCTACCTTTTGGATGTAGTAACGAAAATGGTTAATTTACACACATTGCCTCAAGAATATAGCCATATTACAGTTGCATTTAGAATTATAGTCCTCCGCAAGTCAACATCATATTTAATTAAGTTTAAGATAGAACCAAGAGATGTGTTTGTGTAAGTCATATTTTATTTATTTTCCCCTTATTCAATCAGGAATACTGTATTTAGTGGAACGGGAGAAAAAAACGGCAATGAAGTAAAACAACAAAGTTATGCTTCTATGTGTCTTAAAAGAATCTGTATAATCCCAAAAGCCAAACATAATATAGGATCCTCGAATACAATCATGCTATAGTAGATGAGGAGGCAAATTTGGTTTTTGATAATTCTTGCATTGCTCGTCAAGTGAATATTGTTACTACTGCAAGCACAACTAGAAGTTATTTCATTCCTCTTCCCATAAAACTCTTAAATAAATTAACAAGATCTCTTTCATAATGAATGGACATGCCAATTTCTCACTCACAGATTCTAATAACATACTCCAAATGTTTCAAGTAAACAGACCAACACAAAAACAATGAGCATGGCTAAAACAGTTAGCGCAAAAATTGGGTGAATCCACACTATTGCGTCCCTCCTGTTTTGTCCTTTTCATTTCTATCTTTAGTTGAACGAAAATCATGTTGAAGTTTTGCTACAAATCTCTTGGTTAGATTGGAGGTAGGTTGGCTGTTTGTAACCTCCAATGGTAGTTTTCTTCTTTGGAGGATGGGTGTTATGTTTATTTCTGATGCAGCTAGCTGTGTGTGATGCTTTTCTTTCTTTCTTTCTTTGTGTGTGTGCATACATGGTAAAGAAGATAATTGATTTCTGGTTTGAGAATATGACACATTATCTTATCAACTGGGTTGCAGAAAGTATTTGATCATGACACATTTTCTGCTGATGATATAATGGGAGAAGCAGACATTGATCTTCAGTCCCTAATAACATCTGCTATGGCATTTGGAGATGCTGGAATGTTTGGCGATATGCAGATAGGAAAATGGTTGAAATCTGATGATAATGCACTTATTGAAGATAGCACAGTCAATATTGTTGATGGTAAGGTTAAACAAATGATGTCACTCAAGCTCCAGAATGTTGAATCTGGAGAATTAGATTTAGAACTCGAGTGGATTCCTCTTGATCAATAGCTACACTCAACTGCTGTTAGCCTATCCATTCTCTTGAAGAAATCTCTGTAATATTTTACTCTTCTGCTTTTGGCTCATCATCCTAGAGGAACAAAATAAATCTGTCTGTCTTTTTGTCCATGTAATTTTTTTCTGTTAAATTGTTTGACCAAACATTCAGTAAATTTTATTCGCAGAAAAGAATGAGAGAAGAATACAATAGCTTTGCTAACATGTTGATCATCAGATATTTACTGGTTTGTGTGCAAATGCCAGTTTGCATGCGTGCCTTATACAACTTAGGTGGAAAATAAATATCTGCTTCCCATTTAGTCATTGCCCCAAAGCTGTTAGTATTTTACTAAATACTAATAATTTTGTTTGAAAGAGAGATGGAGAAACAGAAGTGAGCTGAGATGAATATACATGGGGGCAACAAGCAGAGAGGTAAGTTACTTTTATTTGATTCCTAAATGAAGTGCTTCTGTTTGTTAGAAATTCACACAGTACGCACTCACTGTTAGATGTTCTGAGACTGAATCATAGATGATAAATACTCTACTATTGTTGACATTTTGTTATCATAAATAATTAAAATGGTATTTTCCAATATTTAAAATGTTGTCCAGTTTATAGTTTTAATGTGTCATATAATAATTTTCATATAAAATTTGAACTTCCATTACAGTATAAATTATATATTTATAATCGCTAACAAATTTGAAAAAATGCCGCGTGTTGTTTTTTATTATTTCGTAGAGAAAATTCATTTTTTTTGAAATCCTCCCAGTAATTTGTTTATTATATTTATAAATTTTTTAAATATAAAATAAATTAATCTAAATGTATAACTATTTCATTCCCACCAATTATATACAAACTAAACTTTGTATTTGACTAAAAAAACTTAAGTTAAATTACGCTTTTCTTCCTTTAAGTCCCATCGTTCTATATTTTATTTTGAAAAATTGTACTCTCGAGATAAAAATGTTCTATATTTTAATCTAAACGAACTTTTTAATGGTTATAAGCAGCGATAACGAGCCTTTTAAGGAGGGTTATTTTTCCTCTATTTAGAATTTTGAGTGTCACCAACATCTAATTTTGTATACGTGACTTTAGAAGAAATAAAATTTTAAATATTTCTAATATGGTTTTGAGACTTAACCCAAAAAAATTATTTTATTTTCTAAAGCCTTAAAATCGATAATAAGAATTCAAAACTAACTACTACTAACGATGTCGAGAGTCCGAAAAGATAAATTGCTCCTAAAAGGTTTGCTCGTATTAAAATGAACTTAAATATATTATATATTAATTTCTGAAAGAAGAGAAATATAAAAATAAAATTTAAACAGATTAATTTTTTAAATATAAAAAATGACAGTTTAATTTAAACATTCCTCCAAGAAGGAAAATTTAATTTATCTAAAAACTTATTGGAGTATAATGTTATAATAATATTATTTAAAAAATACTCAAACTTTAATGTATGTTCATATAAAAATAAAATTTAATCTATCGTTAATCTCATGTTTTTGAATATATTCAATCGTACATTATCCTATCGTATTAGTAAAAGACGAGTTTTTTTTTTTTTTTTTTGATAACAAGTAAAAGACGAGTTAGATTACGATAAAAATTGAAAGGGAAAAAAAAAAAAAAAAAAAAAAAACTTCTAAAACGATAATATGATGTTGCATGTATGCTAATAAAAAATTTAATGTGTAATCATTTCTTTATCCAACAAAATGAATACCCTCATGCCCAACCTTTTGGCTTTTGTATCCATAATCATTTGCTACATAATTAAAAGAGTTTATTATTGTCTACTACAAAAAAAATAGAGTTTATTATTGTTATATATATAAAAAAAAAAAAGATTTTATTATTTCTTTTGTTACAAGATAAAATCATCTTTTATTTCAAAACGATCTCTTTTGGCTAAAAGAAAAAAAAAATTGTCATGATTAAAATCAATATAACCTAAAAGTAAATTACAATTATAAAAAAAATTCCTCCAATTCTAAAACAATATCATATCAAGATATCGTGAGATAAATTATTTCATGTGAAAAAGATAATAATAAACCCAATTAAAATTCAAATTTGAAGTTATATCAAATATTTCTACTGTGATATGTTATATATTGGACAGCAAAAACTGATCTTTAGATTCTTTACACTTTTACTTCATTTGGGATAGATAATCTATGTTGTAGGGAATATTTTTTTTATGCCATAAATTCAACACATGATGAGTCTCACTATATGTTAAAAATAAAAAATAACAAAACATATTTATAAATTTATTTATAATATAAGACAACTCTCTCTTATTATACCAGAGAATAATCTCCCATAAATCAAATTAGATTATATGAAAAAAAAAGTATTTCAAGTATCAATTTGTTCGAAGGGAGTGGAACAAAAACAACTACTCAGTTACCAACTTGTAACGCATAAATTATTATATTGGAAATTAAGCGGTGACGCAGGTTTTTTTTTTTTTTTTTTTTTTCTCTCGTGAAAATAAGTTTGAACTCAGTTAAGAGGTTTCTGCTCTTCTTCAATGATCATACTAAAAGAAGCTTATTTTATTAAAAATCATATATCTTAGACAGATCACGTTGAGCACTGATTAGAGACAAAGCGTTAGGTCAGCCACTCTATAATAAATGATTTGAAGTATCTAATCTAACAAACTGCTTCAAGTCCATGTACATTAATTTTGAGATTAATATTTAAAAAAATAATTTTATCTCCTGCACACACAAAAATAAATAAGATTGTATGAGACCATATAAAAAAAATACAAATCCCTACATACTTTTATATATATATATATATAAGAAATAAAATTATCTACTGTAACACAAAATGTTAATTTCATTAATTTATCACTACAACTTTTGAAGCCCGTACCTTCAATAATGAAAAAAATAAATTAAAACTCATAATAATAAATAATAAATTAAGAGTTTTATTATTCTCCTTTTACATAAGATAGTTATCTTATGTTATAGAGAGAAAATAAATAGTCACACCGTTACAAGAAAAAAAGAAAATGTGGTGTGCGAAAATCGAAGTGAAAAAGTAAGAGAGAAGTTATCTGATGTAAAATGAGAATAATATTTCTCATAAATTAAATATACAAAGCAGTATGATCAATTTACACAACTACCCATCACCTTGACATACAGGTAGATAAATCACTGTGGAATTAAATTAAAGATAAAACATAAAGGAAAAAAAGAACTCAAAGATTGCGCACTAACTGAAGCTTGTTGGCATTATTATTATTGTAATTATTATTATTATTATTATCAGCGCGAAACGAATCGTTTTGGTTTTGCTTTTTTCGGTTCTTAAACAGATAAAGCAAACCCGAAGCCACTAACAGAATGCCACCTGTCACCCCACACACTAAGCTGGCAACCATTAACGCTCTTCCCAAGTGGCCTCCTCTTCCGCCGCCGCCGCCGGTTGATGTCCACCACGACGGAGGCAGGGACTCGGTGGCATTCCGAAGTGAAACGCCGGACGAAGAAGAGCCCTTGCTGTTGTTGAAGAAGGACCTCATCTCCAGCGAAGAATTGGCCGGTGGCGACGTCTGGAAAACGAGGCCGTGATCGGAAGGCCGGAGCTCCCTGGCTGCGGAGTATCCGGCGAGCATGAAGGCGATTATGATGATGACCGCGGTGGCGAATTCCGGGAGCGACGCCATCAACAGTGGTAGATTCGTGGGTTGCGTAAAATGAAATGGATTAAGAGTGAGAGAGAAGAGCATATATAAGGGGATGGTTACGGTGTCGTTTTAACTGTATTATTACTGTGTTTGGTTTTTTGCTTAACTTGTAAGCGTTTGATGGTAGGTCCTCTTTGAGTCTGTTCTTTTTAAATAATTATTATTTTATTTTAGGGGTTTATATTTATGGAAATAAAATATTATTACTATCGATTAGTGTTATTATCAGTTTATTTCATCAATAGATCGATTATGTTGATCTAACGGTTATATTTATTTCTATCTTTATATAATTATGATTTTCCATATTAAAATATTAAATATGAAGGATGATAATCATATAAAGGTTAAAATAATTATAAAATATTAAATATAGAAAGAAGAAAGAAGATTTTTAAAAAGTTAAATCAGAACCATTAGATCAACATAATCGATCTAACGGGTGAAACAAACTGGTAGTGACATTGGTAGTAATACTAATTGATAGTAACAACATCTTATCTCATATTTATCTAATATGAGATAATTTTATTTTATGTACAAATAAAAAAGTAGGTAAAATTCATTTTTTTTACTTTCTCTCTTTTTTAGAATGGATCCCACTCATTTATTTTGTGTGTACATAAAACTTTGAAAAAAATGTGTGTCATTTTAAGATAGAGAATTGACAAAAAAAATAAAGATGTGGGCCCCACTTCTTTATGGAAATGAAAGGATATAAGTTTAGTCATTTAAAAGGATAAACAATTTTTCCTAAAACTTATTATTATGTGAAATTTTATATTAATTTTACTAAGTAGTTTAAACCTATCTTATACAAACGAAACTAACTTGAAATGTTATTTAAGAATAGATAAAAGGAAAAAAGATTTATACTTTCATTGGAAAAAAAGATTATCTGCCCATTCACGTAAAAGTGATCCTACGAATCTTTTCTTTTTCTTTTCTTAATGGGATCCATTAATGAGTGTGACAGAGAAATTAAATAAATAAAATTATTATTTACCAAAAATAAAATAAAATTATTAAAAAGGGAATGTTGCGTGACAAAAGAGTTTGAGACTTTGAGTAGGTTTTGTTTCACGAAGATACGGAAATTGCTTTTGTGACTATCTGTCAATGTCACCGCTCTCTCCTTTGTCTTATACTCATTATTATTTTCTATTTTCTTTACTTTCTCTGTCTCTTAAAATAAAAATCTCTTCTCTTTATTTTTTCCCACTCGTTGTTGCCGTGATCTCCATTTTACACGCACGGCGTTTTAAGAAGAGAAATGTTAAAATGGAATTAAATGATAAAATTTATTCATTTATATTTTGTTTAGAGTATAAAAAGTTGTTGACAGTAATGGTCCACATGTTAGAACTTTGGAAAAAGTCGAGCTCCAATTTCTCTTTTATGAATATTATTGTGGGAAATAATCCCCTTAAAAATGAATATTATAGCACGTGCATTGACTTGTAATAATGGATACAATATTTTTCTTGTCACTAGTTTCAATATTTAGTTAAAAGAAATTAATGTTTCTGAAGATAAAAAAAAATTACACACATAAAAATATATAAAATCCATATAAAGAGAACAAAGAAAGAGAAAACATAAATTTCGCATACTTTTATATTTGTGTACGTGATAAATTTATCTCCTTATAACATAAGAAATATTAAACCCTTAGTTTAATCAATACATCGTTAGTTATATTCTTTAAATTCAGTTAATATGCATGATTATCAGTTAATATAATGTAAACTAGCAGTTAGCTATATTTTGTTTTAATTAACGGAGATCATCAATGTACCTGGAAAAAAAATTACTTTGAAAACAAAATTATCAATCATGATAAATATGCAATCCTCAAAATGCTCTAAGTCCAACATTTTGGTAAGCTGACACGCTTCAGCAATTTTCCTATATTTCATTTGCTCTTGAAGGAGCTCATATATGGTTCATCATTAAAGTTCAAACACCCTTTACACAATGTTTTATATATATATATATATATATATATAGAGAGAGAGAGAGAGGGGTAGGATCCTTTGACATCAGTGTCAAATTTCAAATTTGACATTTCATCTGAGAGACGTTAGATTAAAAAAGATCAACGACTCTGATTTGTAATCATATGACACCGTTGATCTTTTTTCATCTAACGGCTCTCAGATGAGGTGTCAAATTTCAAATATATGAGGTAGGATCCTTTGACATCAGTGTCAAATTTCAAATTTGACACCTCATCTGAGAGCCGTTAGATGAAAAAAGATCAACGGTGTCACATGCTTACAAATCAGAGTCGTTGATCTTTTTTGATCTAACGGCTTTCAGATAAGGTGTCAAATTTCAAATTTGACACAAATGATCCTACCTCTATATATATATTATTCTAGGTACTGCTGAAATTCCAGGGGGCTATAATCCTTATTGCTTAACAATAATTCAAAATTTGGCAAAATAAAACATGTTTATACCCCTTACAAAAGTGGAACAAACATGTATCTACCACAACCAATGAGTTGGTTTTTCAACTTTGCATTCCTGAAGAAGACAATATCTCATTGTAATTTGCTAATACAGAACAGGTACAACTATTCAAGCTGCATAATGAAGATTATTAATCAAAACAATCATTAGAAAGAAAATGCATGCATTAATTTTTATAAGACAGAGGAGACTACTCTGCACTACAGAATATCAGTAGACTTCAACATGCCATTGTTTGTTCTTCTTAAGTTGTGAAAGCTTCTCTTCCCAATTTTCTCCTCTCTGTTCAGCAACCCTCTTGATTGTTTCTTGGATCCCAGGCATCATCCCTTTCAGGCCACAGAAATAAATGTGGGCACCATTATCCAGGAGTTTAAAGATTTCATCACTGTATTCCTCAATCTTATCCTGAACATACATTTTGCCTCCATTCTTGTTCTTTTGCTCTCTGCTAAGGGCCCTATCATAGCGGAAGTTGTTTGGATAATCCTTAAGGTATTTGGTGAATTCATCATCATAGAGAAGACTATCAGTATTAGCAACACCAAGGAAAAGCCATGCTAGCCCACTAAACTTGAATGTAGGGACAGATTCCATGAACATTCGACGAAGATAGCCTCTATATGGAGCAACACCAGTACCAGTGGCAATCATTATATGGGTAGCATTTGGGTCATCCTCAGGCAAAAGCATTATCTTCCCAGAGGGGCCTGCCAAAAAATTGTGCATTGCTTAATTCCTAACCAAGAAGAAGCAAGTTTTCACCAACATTTATAGTCTGAAAACCCTTATGTCATCATAAGTTTACCTTACAATTTTGTTATCCTTCCTTCTACAAAATAACATAGATTATTATCACAAAATTATACAATGATTGCAGGTCAATTATCAGTTGCAAGTAAATTCCCAGATATCAATTATTGCTAAGATAATAGTATATCTGTAGTGTAAATACCTAGATACACGCAAACACAGATATAATCTTTGTGTGTGTGTGTCTTGAGAGAAAACACACACACTGAGCATTTATAAACAAACACGAATAAAAATTGTAACTTTTATAATTAGAGGTAGACAAACCAAAATAAAAGAGGTAAATCCAAGGAGGAAGGAAGAATGGCCATTATATTCAATGGAAAGTGGAACAAAAGGCAAAAATCTATAGGGGCATAGCCAAACTACATATGTGAAAGGGACTAAAGAACCAAGACTTTCTAACTCAAACTTGTCAGTTGTCAACACAGATATGCAGTTACATACTAACTACTAACTAGTAAGTTACCCTACAATATTCTTTTTATTTGTTTAGTTCATCATTTTTCTTCACCATGCTCCATGTGACAATAGTTTGATGTTAAACAACAGACCAAATGTATAGATTTAAGGAGCTATAAAATTGTGAAAAACCTGGTTCACTAGAATATAGCAAGAAAATGTTTGGAGAATTTAGGCACACCAAATCACCATGTCTATCTAATTTCAAATCATTGCTCATTATGTAATTAGGAAACTTATCTCAAATACCCTTAATTGCCCCATCTATCATTTAAGCACAGAGCCCACCATTCACAGTATGGATTCCAATTGATTAATCAGCAAACAAACAGCAGTCAACAAGCTCACTTTCCCATAGATAGGAAAAGTTACTAGAGCAAGGCACATTCAGGAGGCATAACCTTGCAAAGCTGTCACACCTTCTGATAAGGCGTGTAGGCAGCAAGGCAGCATGCACAAGTACGAAGAGATTAGAAATTCTCTCAGCTGAGTAAGGTTGAGGCATTACTTTGTTTGAATATGAATTTTAAGAAGTTGTAAAAGAAATTAGAAATCACGTTAACCTTTGACTGGGTAAAAGAAGTTTGCTCTGTGTACTGGGAAAAAAAAAAAGTTTGCTCTTACCTGTGATCTGAATTTTGTCTCCAGGCTTTGAGTTACACAAAAAATTGCTACAAACGCCACTCTTGGAAGGATCTTCTTTTCCTGTCTCAGGGTCATAATAAACTGCACGACGCACACACAAACTGGCCGTTTTTCCATCAAAATAGTCTCCATACCTTGAGGAAGCAATTGAATATAGTCGAACATTATGGGGACTCCCAGGTTTCTTTGGATTTTCACCCTGCCAACCATGTACAGGAGTATTTATGAGTTTTGAATCATTTCAGAATTGTAACCGTTTGAACTCCCACATCTGATCCCGCCAAAAGAAAAAACACTCTCCATTAAACCCCGACTAACCAGGGTAGGGGTAAGGGCAATCCTTATATGCAGTCTTATTTTTGCATAATAAGCAAAGACATTATTTCCTATATTCAAACTCATGACCTTTCGATCACAAAGGAGCAATGTTACCACGGCTCCAGGCTTGCCCTCTTAAAGAAAGGGGGAAAAATGCTTTCTACATGAATTAATAAGCTAAAAATATGACATCAGTTTTGAGATGGAAGATGGAGAGGGGGAGTCAGAATCAGCTTAAATTCTGCCAATGGCCAATAATATTAAACTTCTCTAAGAAAGGACACATAGTTGGGTATTGTAAGATATCCAAAATGAGGTCCTTTCTCCCAAATTAATTTACCCAAAAAACTGAAGCCAAAGATCAATCATTATGGATTCACATTCATTCAGTACTCAAAGAATGAGGAGTGGAAGCATAAAATGACTATCACTAATAAGTCACTTACTGGTGGAATAACACCATAACTCTGTCCTTCCCAGTAGGGAACATTTCCACCATGATCAATCACAATATGACAAGTTTCCCCAGGAGCCTTTGGGCCTACCAACCTCTCAACAGAAACAATTGTTGCTGTATAGGGCTCTTTAGGCTTGTGTAAGTTCAATGGAGGTTCTGTAGCCTCTTCCAACTCTAAAGGGGAGACATTAACTTTGGGAACACTTGCTTGTTGCACGGACATGCATATCACATGACGATTTCTCAAACAGGAGTTGTTTGCTTTCAAGTCCAAAGTTAACAATGGTGACCATGATTTATCCCGAAAGTTTATGCTAGACGCCTGCAACATCAAGAGTAGTTTTCTTTAAAAATACAAGTTATATAACCTAAACAGGAAGCTAAATTTCAAAACATATTTAAATAAACATAATCTCTTATTCTAACAACTACGGTACCATTCTTAAGACACTCCCCTTTTGAAAAGTAATTGATATAATAAAACATTTATCTGTATTCTACAGAAACAAGATGTAAAACTCAGAAATAAAGGTCGCACGAGTGTGCTAAGTAGACTCGGTCACTAAAACACTACTGGGCTTGGAAAACCAAAATACCTCGTATATCAAAAGCTCTAGAATTCTAATGTAAAATTATCCAGTTACACCACTTCTAAGTAGAAGATCATCTATACCAACAACCAAAAACTTCTCTTGGCAACAAATAAAAATAATTGCCAGATATTTCTTCAGCTCATTACATTCTTCTAGGTACAGAAATGAACCAAATCAAATGTATAGCAAAATATAGTTTCTTCTAAACTCATTCAGAAAGAAACATCCACCAATCTCTATAATTGCTCCGTCCAGATTTTTTAACAGCCATACCAAATCAAAGTATCAAACTAGTCATAAAAATCTAGCATTACTACAGATCCTTCAGACAGTTTGATCTATATGCATAACATGACAATAATAATAAAAGCATTCATAACCATGTTTCCAAAGTCAGAAGACAGACAAAACGAATCAGAGGAAACATCACACCTTAAACGCAGATCTTCTAAGAGACAAATCACTGCCAACAGGAACAGTTACAGCCATCTGCAAAAACACACAAAAGTCTTAGTATTCGTTAATTAAATTATGTTCAGTAACTGAGAAATTCAAAAAAAAAAAAAAAAAAAAATCATTTGTAGTTGTAGTCCAATTTTAAAGGTCAAATTTTGATTCCATTTGGGGTGACCCATTTATTCTGGGAAGCCAAAAAGAGTTTCAACGTGGAGAAAACGAAGTAAGTGAAGGGTTTACCTGAGACAAGGCCAAATGAGCCATCATGATGAGATCGAGAACAAAGAAACTACAGTAATCTTAGTTCAAAAAGTGATTGGAGAAGGTGATTTGAAAAGCACAGAACTTTAATTATGGGTCTAATATAATATGCTGATTGCTGAAAGGGTTTTGGTTTTATGATCCTTTGGAGAATGGGAAGGGTTGTTTTTTCCCTTGGCTCCTTGGAGTGTCACTCCTTCATTGATCTCACCTACGCCAACAACTAGCAATAGTTAATTCCTTAACCCAATTATATTCTTTTTTATCATTGAAAACAAATTATATGAGTTTTATCAAAAGTTCAGTATTTTTTATGTTGCAGTAAATAATTTTAATTTTTTCACATATAAAAAAAAAATTAAATTCATACTTTTTTTTCTCTCTTTTCTTTTCACGTTATGGGAGTAACATATTTTTATTATATACAGAGAATAAAATATCTATTATAATATGATTTTTTATTAAATAACATGAGATTATGTTTTTACAAAAAAGAATATACATAGAGTTTTATTTAATAATAAAAACATTACAAAACCAAAATATATATAATTACTATTTCTAATAAAAAAAATTGATTAATAACTTGAAGGTGAGCTAAAGATTTCGCAGGTACATAACAATTAAATAATCAAACAAATGATTTTATAAATGAAAGCCTTTCTTTTTCATTTAAAATCACTTACAAATTTTGAAATACCATGTATAAACAGTAAACATAACCTTAAGAAAGCATTTGTAATTGATTACTTTTATTTAAATAATAAAATTAAAATTATATTTGAGATGTAATTATAGATATATTTTTAAAAATATGTGAATCTTACATTTATAATCAATTTTATATTCTTAAAAAAAAAATCTTCCCCAAAATCAATTATTTCCACCACAAATGTGCGCTCAGTTTAATTGAAAAGTAGTCATACAATTATAAACTTGTTGAAAGTCATTATTTTCTGCAAAAACGTGCGTTAACATGAGAGCCTAATAGGCATTGTTGTTAAAATCTCAATTTATTATTACGATTTTACGTTTTTACGATTTTTTTCATTAAAATGATTTTACTAATATTCTAAACGCTTTTACGTTTTTTACGATTTTTTTACCTTATAATCTTACGTTTTACGATTTTGTAATTTCCTTTGAATTTTATTTAAGATCTCGATTTTAACAACATTACTAATAGGCTCGAATTAGTTAAGAAAAGAAAAATTTTAAACATATGACGGAAAAGGTGAGATTATTGGCATTATTATTTTCCTATTTATGTATTTTCTTAATTGTTCATGATTTCAATTACATAAAATATAAACAAAGTAAACCTTAATAATCAAGTATAAGTAATACTGTGCCAAAGAATAGAAATATAAGTGTTAAAAAAATTGATATCAAGAGAATTGATTTGTGTTTCGAAATAAATATTTTTTTTTTGGTATACCGAAATAATATTTTAAAAGTTAGTTTAGAAAGATTGATTTTATTTAGACAATAAAGTAGAATCACTTTTATTTATTTCAAAATCTAGTAGTGTTTAGTCTAAAATTTCTCAATTTCTCTTCCCAATCTTTTTCTCTGTTTTATCTTAATTCTTAAAACTAATTGATGGTTAACTTTTGTACTATTTATGAAAATAATTATAATAATATAGTTCAAATTTTGAAATTAGATACCAGTTTAAGTTCTAAGAGAGCATTTGATAGAGAAAAGATTTTTTTTTTATCCGAGAATCACGATTTTCAAGAATATGATGAAAAAGTGAATTTTTCAAAAATGTTATCAAAACGTTATTTGGTAGGACAAAATATTATCAAAAATGTTGAGTTAATTTTTTTAATGCTATGTTCGGTTGATTGTTAAATATTAGGGGAAGGATGTACTTACAACCAAAAAAGTTTATCACTTTTACAACCAACCTAATCACCGTTGATTTCCGTCAATCTAACGGTTATAATTATTTTGGAAATTATTAGATTGTATTTATTAATTAATTATTAATGTTCAATAAATCCAATAAATTATAACCGTTAGATTGACGAAAATCAACGGTGATTAGGTTGGTTGTAAAGGTGGTAAAAAATTTTGGTGGTAAGTATATCCTGCCCCTAAATATTATTAGGAATGTGAGGTAATTTTACTAAAATAACTCCACTTTTATCGGTTTACCCAAAGACCACTCATTCCCCATCGATAGTCAACCTCCCTCCACTACCATAACCATAAGCAACCGAGCAAGCAGAAAAATAAAAGAAGCAAGAACCAAATCAGAAACAGTAATACAAAAAAAAAAAACAAAGGGAATTTTTTTAGTTTGAGTAAATACCCTTTTTGGTCCCTAGCAATATTAGCGAAATCCATTTTAGTCCCTGACAATGTAAAAGTACCAAATTGGTCCCTAAAGTTATGAAAAAAGGGCCACGTTAGTCCTTCTGTCAACTCCTCCGTCACGGTCAAACTAACGGTGCTCATGTGGCACGTTATCTGCTGACGCGGACTCCACGGTGGACACGGTGGAAAGCTGGACGACGACGGTGGACACCCATGGAAAGCACAACGTCGTTTTACTTGAATGCAATTAATTGATAAAACCCAAATAATGAACCCTAAAATTGAAAAAAACCCAAATGCCTTCAATAGAACCCTAAACCGGAAACTCCATCCCCCAAATTGATGAGCAAATCTGTAAACAGCAAAACGCCGCCAGAAAGTTTGCACTTTGATGATTGAAACTCGACGAAAGACATTAAGCCATCAACCGGATTTCTGGGCGTGGGAGAAGATGAGTGTTTCTTCTGGCATGGGGGGGTCAAGTAGGAGTAAATCAATGGGGGGAAGAACAATGGCAAGGACCACTGGTTGGAGGTGCAAATGTGGGAGACAAAGTATTGTCTATACCTCCAAAACTGAGAGGAACCCAAACAGGGCTTTCCTTGGGTGTCCTAACTTCAAGGTACGAATTTGTAATCTACTCCTTTATTGAGTTGGAACACTTGCTAACCATGGTGTTTATTTTTTCAGGTGAAGAAGCCCTATTGTGATTTTTTTAGATGGGTAGATGACATGTGTAATGAACCCATGGAACTGGAAGAAGCAAGAATTCACACTGTGGAGTTGGATGTTGCTGAAATTAACTTCAAGTTGAAGTATGTGGAGATGATGATGAGAGAGCAAGATGTGAAGATTACTGAGCAAGGAATGAAGCTTCATCAGCAGGAAAGAAAACTGAATGATGTATACCTGAAGATGGTGGAGGAGTTAGTTAGGATGGACAAAAAAATTAGGACAGTTGATAGGTCAGCTAGGGTCTTAGGTGCTTGTGTGGGTATGATCATGATCTGTATGTTTGTTGTTAGTGTGGTAAAAGTGAAAAAAAGTGACCCAAATGTATTTTTGCTTCAGTAAATTGTAATGAGTACTCCTTCCTGTTGTTATACAAATTATGTGTTAGTTCAAATCTGTCTGTGTGTATTATCATATGGCCTATTATAAAAAAGCCTTGAATGTATTCCTTAATATATTATGGCATTATATATTATTGCATAGTTAGGCATCGAATGACAAAGTGCACGGGGCCTCTTCAATATGCCATAACTTAGTGACACTAACGGTGCTCATGTGGCACGTCCACCGTCGTCGTCCAGCTTTCCACCGTGTCCACCGTGGAGTCCGTGTCAGCAGATAACGTGCCACATGAGCACCGTTAGTTTGACCGTGACGGAGGAGTTGACAGAAGGACTAACGTGGCCCTTTTTTCATAACTTTAGGGACCAATTTGGTACTTTTACATTGTCAGGGACTAAAATGGATTTCGCTAATATTGCTAGGGACCAAAAAGGGTATTTACTCTTTTAGTTTTGAAGATAACAGCTATTGACTTCAGATCCATTGAAGATAACTTTTTCCTTTTTCCTAGGAAGGGAAATTTTTTCTCAAGATGACTTTTGCAACTTATATAATCCAAACGAAGAAAATCAGAACTACGATGCTTTTTTCTTTCTTTCTTGTTCCTTTTTCCATTGGATAACATGTGGATTTCAGACAAACAGGTATGCTAAATTGAAGCAGCATAAGATTGATGCACATCGTAAGCAATGGCTATCACAAGGTATGTGAATGTGATGTGCATAATAATGTTTTTGTTGACGTGTTCTACACGAAGAACGAAAGAAGAAGAACGAAGAAGACAAGGTTAATTATATCCCAAAAAAATTACAAAACATTCCCACCAAGTGGTATTCGCAAAATACCATGGAGCCAGTTGTATTTTAAGTTGGCCTTTTTTCTTCATAAGAATAACTCCTGCGAATCTGATACTCTTAGAAAAAAATTTTAATACGTGTACCAAACGTGGAAAAAAGATATTCCCAACCTCAGATTCCCTGGAATCTAAAATAAATACTCCTACCAAATGACATCTAAGGCAAATTATTTATTGTTTTAATGAGATAAAACACGCACACTAATAATACGCATTAAAACGCGTATGTGTAATAAGTGTGTCCTGCGTGGCATCAAACAAGACAAATAAAGACACACATGATTTGGTAGCACGTCTAAAAGCAACAATAGTTGATTTTTAGTTTATGGGCTTTTCTTTTCTCATGTCACATGAGATAGCATCTTTCATGTCATAGACACTATTACAAGAAATCAGTGAAAGAAAACTTGGATATTTCATTACTGGAGTTGAAGAAAAAAATTGAAGAAGTAACTGTTTACAATGTATCAGATACATATATATACACAAGAATAGTTAAGCTACGTAACTAATTAGCTAACTATAACTTCATAACTAACTTAAGTTATATCACGTGGATGTGGTTAAATCCGTTGAAGATTCCGTGATTAAAGGACTGACGTGGCACTGCTGACCTCCATTGCTGAGTTGGCAATTCTCTGCACTTATATCCAATACCCCCCACAAGCTGGACGAAGAATATCTCGGAGACCAAGCTTGTCAGTAAGAGAATGAAATGGCCGAAGACGAAGAGGCTTGGTGAAGATGTTGGCTAGTTGTGCTGATGATGAAACTGGGAGGAGATGGATGATGCCATAATTAATACGTTCCCGGATAACATGACAATCAATCTCGATGTGTTTCGAGCGTTCATGAAAGACAGGATTCTTGGCAAGGTAGATGGCAGAAATATTATCACAGAAAACAGATGCAGGTTTGGAACAAGAGACTTGTAAATCCTGAAGTAAAAGTC